CTTACAGTTTACTTTGTCAGTCAGCTACCCTGGTATGAACCTCCCTTTTATAGTTTACTTTGTCAGTCAGCTATTCATGTAAGAACCTCCCTTTTACAGTTCACTTTGTGAGTCAACTACTCATGTAAGAACCTCCTTCTTACAGTTCACTTTGTGAGTCAACTACTCATGTAAGAACCTCCTTCTTACAGTTTACTTTGTCAGTCAGCTACCCTGGTATGAACCTCCCTTTTACAGTTCACTTTGTGAGTCAACTACTCATGTAAGAACCTCCTTCTTACAGTTCACTTTGTGAGTCAACTACTCATGTAAGAACCTCCTTCTTACAGTTCACTTTGTCAGTCAACTACTCATGTAAGAACCTCCCTTTTACAGTTTACTTTGTCAGTCAGCTACCCAGGTAAGAACCTCATTTTTACATTTTACTTTGTCAGTTAGCCATTCAGGTAAGAACCTCCTTTTTACAGTTCACTTTGTCAGTTAGCTACCCAAGTAAGAACCTCCTTCTTACAGTTTACTTTGTCAGTCAGCTACCCTGGTATGAACCTCCCTTTTATAGTTTACTTTGTCAGTCAACTACTCATGTAAGAACCTCCCTTCACAAAGTGAACTGTAAGTAAGAAGGAGGTTCTTACATGAGTAGTTGACTGGTTCACTTTGTGAGCCAACTACTCATGTAAGAACCTCCTTCTTACAGTTCACTTTGTGAGTCAACTACTCATGTAAGAACTTCCTTCTTACAGTTCACTTTGTGAGTCAACTACTCATGTAAGAACCTTCTTCTTACAGTTCACTTTGTGAGTCAACTACTCATGTATGAACCTCCTTCTTACAGTTCACTTTGTGAGTCAGCTACCCTGGTGAGAACCTCAGTTTTACAGTTTACTTTTTTCAGACAATTACTTTGTTTTACAGTTTGCCCATGCTGCTGTCAGATTGTAAGGTTAACATGTTTCAGATGAATGTCACTCTTCACATTAGATGATAGAAGATTTAGTGGCTATTTACTACAAAGTAATGGATGGTTAGATGCAGTGTGAGAAAACTAAGAACAGGAACTAATTTAAACAGTGAATCCACCATAGTAACATCTGTCAAATTTGGGTAACACTATGAACACACATCATTATGGTGTTTATCTTTTCTGTATTTATATAAAATTCCTCTCACTATAATGGAATAATAACAAACAATCAGTAGAAGTGAATTTCATAATTTTGTGCTTAAAATGTTTTAGTTGCTATTTGTGGTGAGTGGTTCATACCAATAAAAGTTTTGTGAGACATAATTTTGAAGCCGATGTTGTGTAACATCAGTGATATTATATACCTACAACAACATTTCATATCACTAAAAGCTATTTTCTTCTCCATGTCTGAATCATGCTGTAACTTCCCAGGTACAGAGAAGCAGCATATGGCTGAAGGTTGTATCTTCTGTGGCTCCAAGCTATCTTGTCACCAGCCTACAGATGATCAAGAATGTCCCTGTGACTGGCATGGTGCTTTGAGGCTGAAGGCTGAGCAGGGTTTGGAACTTTCTGTGAGAGAAAAGGCTTTGCGGGTTCCAGAATTTCCGTGTTCTCAGGTTTATAGTTTATCATACGTTTAGTGTATAATGAAAATATTATAAAAGCATTTAAGAAGGTTTTTCATTCTTAATTTATACCTTGTTTCTTAAGACACATTTTGGTGTTTATTAATACTGTACAACAGTATATTTATTAATACTATCCAACAATATGTTACAGGTATATTTGTTGAATACTATATAATACAGTGTTAATGGTGTAATAGTGTTTGTTTAAGAAAACTTAATATTATATAACAGTGTTAATGGTGAAATAGTGTTTAAGAAACTTAATACTATACAACACAGTGTTAATGGTGTATTAATATTTGTTCAGATTACATTATCACAGTGGTACATTAGTAAACTCACAACAAAGAGAAAGGAGATAAAAAAAAAATTTTCTTCTTGAACAGATTTATTTACAAGGTTGCTAAATCTGTCTAAAATTACAGATGGTCAAAGGGTCCACCACAGTTTACAATGCAGGAGTAAAATCTTACAATGACTGCAATGGTCTGAACTTAAATTCCATAATATGAGCTGATCTATTACAGAAAATATTTGAACAGGCTGACTTTAGTATGTACACATGAAGTTGTCATGTGATACACAATAGAATTAGTATCCTTAGTATCTATTGGATGGGAGGTCACCAGATAATTGAAATATACTGACATTTAAATAAAGGTCCAGTTGGATCAGGCAATCAATGAATAAAATATATTGATGTGTAAATATAGGTCCAGTTGGATCAGGTAATCGATGAATAAAATATATTGATGTATAAATAAAAGTACAGTTGAAGCAGGCACTCAACAAAAATTACTGGAAATATACTGATATATTTGTTTTTTTAGGTTATTGAAGAATATTTGAATTATCAAGATCACCTACCAGAAGGAACAGTAAAATGGAAAACCCCAAAGTGGACTTCATTTCAGGTTGTGTTTGGAGAGATGTTTATTCTAAGGAAACAAAGCTGTACTGACTGTATATTTTTTGTGTTTATATAATGTTTTTAGTTGAATAAATTATTTTGATTTTAACAAACCTTTTTGTACTTGAAGCTTAGATTTACTGTAATTTATATATTTATGTTTTATAAATGGCTTATGATACCATTAACTATGAAAAGAGAGAGGACTGACTTGAGTATTTCATGTCCTTAAGAGTATCTACAAGTTCACAAAACCATTTATATAGAAAATTTCCTAATTCACCCTCAAAAGGGAAGGTCTTTGTTCTGAATTGATAAATTATTAACATAATAGATGAATAACAATGGTTCTTTTGTTTCTGTTTTCACGGGAGCAAAGGTAATTGTTATGCTATTTTGTTACTATTCACAGAGGCACAGATGGTCTGTTGCAATATTATTTTGATAATGTTTACAGGAGCACAGGTAGTTTACAGTCATGTTATTTTGTTAACTTTCACAGGGCCACAGATAGTCTGTTGTGATATCATTTTGTTAATGTTTACAGAGGCACAGGTAGTTTACAGTAATGTTATTTTGTTAACATTCACAGGGCCACAGATAGTCTGTTGTGATATCATTTTGTTAATGTTTACAGAGGCACAGCTTGTTTACAGTAATGTTATTTTGTTAACTTTCACAGGGCCACAGATAGTCTGTTGTGATGTTATTTTGTTAACGTTTCACAGGGCCACAGATAGTTTTTGTGATGTTATGTCGTAAACATTCACAGAGGTACAACTAGTTTATGGTTAATTACTAGTTAATAAATACACTTAGGTATGCTGACCATGCCAGTGGTTTGCTATAATGTAAACATGACAGCCTTGTGTGTTATGTTGTTTCTTATCTTCATAACACTTTCAGAAAGCTTGTTCAAAGTGTATTTTCATGTTCCACAGATTTTTTTAGTACTTAAAAGTTTATCATCAAGATTTATATACACGGAAAGATTAATTAAAATGTTAGGTTTCTAGACTTTCTCAGAAAGATCAGTTGAAATGTATCATTATATTTTTATGGTACAATTATATTGTTATTCTTTCTAGCTCTTCACTGAAGCAAAGTTAAAATGGCCTATCAAGTACTGTTGGGAGAAATATTTGCCCTTGCTGACTCTGTGGCAGTTAAAAACAATTCTTAACAAATCAGAGTGCACTGTTTTCAAATTGAACCCCAGTAGGTCAGTAACAGTTTCAGTTCGGTTCTGTGAAAAATTGAACACTTGTATATCTTGGAATGCTGTTCAGTGATAACTTTAGAGCACAATTCCTTTCCTTTCTAAATATGTTGGGTCGATGCTAAGATCCGTGTTTCAAGCTGTATTGTTGAACTCGACGTCTGACATTGTATTTGATATGTTTTAAGTACACTTCCCAACAATGTAACAGTTCTTAGTCCTCTGGTCCTGCATTGTAGTATTGTATAATATATTTCACCATTTTAATACAGAATAGTTTTAGAAATTTGCTGTCTGTTCATATCAGAATTCACCGTCTTACTCCATAACAATTTCTGAATTCATTTTTATAACTGCAACTGTAAATAGCATCTTTATTAAAAAA